ATAAAATTAAAAACTTTTATATAAGATAAAAATTTCAATTTTTATTACATTTTATTAATAAAATTGCATGTATAATTTCATAATTTTATTACACACTGTAGTTATTTAATTTTAAGTTTGATTTTATAATATATACAATAACTAATAAAATTATGGAATTTTTGTCTTATATAAAAGTTTTCAATTTTATTAATAAATATTTTTATTTTTATATTTAATATATTTTTTTTTGAATTTTTTAGATTTAATCTGACAAAATTGTTTTAATTGCAAAAATTTTTAATTAATATTAAAATAAAAATAATATTATATATTTTAATATATATTTTTTAAAATTTTTAATTTAATTTTATATAATATTCTCTAATTATATATAAAGTCAATAATTTTTTATAATTAAAATATATAAAAAATTAATAATGTTATATGTAATAAGAAAATATTATATAAAATTAAAAATTTTAAAAATATATAGTAACTCTTAAAATTATGGAATTATACATGTGAATTTATTAATAAAATATAATAAAAATAAAAATTTGTGTTTTATATAAAGCTTTCAATTTTATTAATAAATATTTTTTATTTTTATATTATAAGTTATATTATAATATTTTTTTCTAACAAAATTATTCTAACAGTAAAAATTTTTTATAATTAATTTTATATTTTAATTATAAAAATTTTTGCAATTAGAATAATTTTATTAGAAAAAAATCTAAAAAATTCAAAAAAATATATATTATAATATAATTTATAATATAAAAATAAAAAATATTTATTAATAAAATTAAAAACTTTATATATAACAAAAATTTTAATTTTTACTATATTTTATTAATAAAATTATATATATAATTTCATAATTTTGAGAGCTATTATAAATTAAATATGTAATATTATTTTTATTTTAATATAAAAAAAGAAAAAAATTTGTATTTTTATATTTTATTTTATTATATTTTATTATTTTTTTTGCTATTTAATTATTACTATATAAGTCAAAATTTTAATTTTTATTATATTTTATTAATATAATAGTTAATAAATTATGAAATTATATATAATAATAATTAAAAATAATATAATAATATCAAAATTTAAATATAGTAAAATATAATTTTCTCTTTATATAAAAGTTTTCAATTTTATTAATAAATATTTTTTATTTTTACATTAAATTGAATATATTTTTTTAGATTTTTTAGATTTAATCTGATAAAGTTATTCTAATTGCATATAAAATTAATTATTTTTTATATGTTATAATTATAAAAAAATAATTAACTTTATATGCAATTAGAACAACTTTATCAGATAAATAGATTAAATATAAAAAATAATATGTTAAAATATAATATTATCTTCAGTTTAATATAAAAATAAAAAATATTTATTAATAAATTGAAAACTTTTATATAAAAAAAATCTGCATTTTACTATATTTAATTAATAAATTTTGATGTCATTATATTATTTCTAATTGTTACTATATATAATTTTATTAATAAAATATAATAAAAATTGAAATTTTTGTTTTATATAAAAGTTTTTAATTTTAATATTATAAGTTATATTTTAACATATATTTTTTTTGATAAATTATTTTAATTACAAAAATATTACAAAAATTTTTTATAATTAATGGATTGAATTTAGATTTTTATACTATGGATAATACATTTTATAAAATTCATAGAAAGTTCAAAACTTAACAAAATTAAATAATTTTATAATTTTTATTAACACCAATAATGTGCTTGACAAGAAATTGTAATTATAAAATGCAACATTATTTAGTAATATGAGTATATTACATATAGTATATTATTAAAAATTATTATGTGATTCACTATTAAAAAAAATGAACTTTCACTTTTAGAAAAATGATAGAATAGATATTAGATAACATATAAAAAAAATATTAATTTTGTTGGAACTGTACTATATATCATACAAATATAATGAGTTCAACAATTAGTACACATTCCCTGTTCTGCAAAACAGCTGTAACAAGTAATTGTACATTTATTACAATTTAGATATTAACATTGAATATACTTTTCTTTGAGTCTTGAGATTGCAGGATTATTCTTAAAACTTGTGAGCTGATATTTGACACTTTTTGAATTCTATTTTCATTTTTTTCTGATTTGATTAGTGACTTTTGAATCAGAATAACAATCAAAGATCAATTTTACTAATTGCTTGTGAAAATTCACTTGTTTCATATTTTGCTTGCCTGGAACAAATCGACAATATATAGAAAAGTTGTTGGTCTCTGTAATTGTAAAATATAAGGCAAAAATTCGATCTATTGAGCATTTTGATAGGAGAACATCATGATAAAAAAGTGTATTATCACGCAAATTATTAAATATGTTCACAACTCATTATATTCATCAAAAATAACTGGTTGTTAAAATTTTATGTCATCACAACTCTTAATATATCATTTTATTTCTGTTTTGAGAGTTGTTGTAAAATAATTGACAAGAAGTATGACATTTTTATGATTATGAACAGAGCATATAATTAATTTAATATTATTTAGTTTTTTAGTCTGATTAATAAATATTCTATAATCATTTTTCAAAGTATCTGTAATATCATAAGTAATGTTTTTTGGTCAGTAATGACATTTCTTTATTTGTAAAATTAAATAGAGTCTGTATTCATATAAAGCAATATATGTATTTGTATTATCAAATTACGAATTATTAATGATTGTTCTGTCACTACAAAATCACAGTTCTATTAATCTTAATACAATTACAACTATTGCTGAATGTTGATCAGTGAACTTCTTTTTCATAGTATGTTTCAGAGATTCTGTAGGATCCAATTGTATGAACAAATTAATTTGAGCATTCATGAGAGTTTTAAATTTACAACTGATTAGATGTGGTTTTCTTGGTATCTTCTGTTGAAATAGACTCTTATCGATCTTGTCCATCCACTGACATATTGATTCATCTATACAAAAATAAGTATCAAGTACAATAGCATGAGTAAGATTTTTATTAAATGCATTGTGAAATTGTCTCACAAAATAAAAAGGATAATTATTTTCTGACATGTCCATTAATGTCAAATATTTTATGATATTTCGAAATCATTTATATGACATATATTATTCAAATACCAGTACAACTAGAGATAACGCAGCAAGTACGTGATGCTTATTTGTCACCCGTTGTAACACGTTGCAACTCCAAAATTTTATAAGCTGCAACTAGTTGCAACTAGGTGATGTTTTATTTGTTACCTCATTGCAACAGTTGCCGCACCATCTTTAAGTATAACTTCACTTGTTTCTGGTTTAATAGATCAGTAATCACTAGTATCAGCACATCTAACATACGTTATAATTGTCAAAATATCAACAAAGCACATGAATTCTATCCAAGTTAAATTTTTTCACACTTGTTCACATGCTCTTGCACATTTATTTATCGATGATATTATTATTGATTTAATATATTCAATAAGTAAAAATTGCTTGAAGAACTATCTAGACAATACATGAGTAATATCAATGATATTTACAATTGGAGCACTCAAATAAGAATGTGATACTTGACAGAGATCAATTGTAACAATTTCATCAGTTCACAACAAACCATTTATATTATCAACAGTTATTGTTTTATTGTTTTTACTTTGCTTGCTATCACTTGAGATGTCTGTTTCAGGCTCATTTTGAATGTCTGTTTCAGATTCATTAATATCTGTGTTCATATTATTAGTTATAGAAACATTTGTAAACTTTATATGACCTGTTGAAATTTTGATTTCTAACTCTGATTGCACATTCAGACTAATGAATCAGCAATTATTACTGGATGTTACTCATAAAACTGTGACAGAAAGTCACTTGGTTTTCCATAAGTCTCCTAAGAGTGGATAAAGAACATTTACCTGGTATTTCAATGAATAAGAAAAGCTGAATTAAAACTCAACAAAGCAAATATAATTTCATTTGAAAAGAATTACTTTTTCTTGGACATGTAATCAACAAAAATGGAATGTTTCCTGATTCATCAACTGTACAAAAAATCTTGAACTTTTCTCAACTACATACTGTTAAAGGACTCTGATTATTTCTTGGATTAGCTGAATATTACTGAAAATTCATTAAAGAATTTTCACAAATTGCTGCACCACTCTTCAAATTACTATACAACAACATTACTTTTATCTGGATTATTGAACAAAAAAAAGTATTTAACAAATTCAAAACAACATTTATCTCAGTACCAATCCTGATTTACCTGAATTTTACAAAAAAATTCCATCTCTACACTAATATCTCTGATTCTGGATATAGAGCAGTATTAATCCAAAAAGATGACCAAGAATAAGAACAAGTTATTTCTTATATAAGTACTACTTTAAAAACCTCTGAGAAAAATTACAGTACAACTGAGAAAGAAGCTGTTACAGTTGTCTGAACAGTAAAACAATTCTGACATTATCTTTTAGAAACAACATTTGAAATAATTACTGATCATAATACTTTGAGATAGTTATTTATCAAACAACAAAATCCTAGATCAAGAATTGCTCACTGGATAACCCAAATGATGAAATATACTTTTATTGTTACCTATCAACCTGGAAGAAAGAACCAAAATGCTAATGCACTATCTTGCATATACTCTGAACAATAAATCATGAATTTAACAACATATTATAATCTTCTTCAATACCTAAAAAACAAAATTTTTGACAATCACATTCCAGAATTCCAATAACAATGAATTATTCAACAAATGAAACATTTTGTTGTACAAAATGAACTCTTATTCAAAATTAACTGATGAAAGAATGCTACACATTTTCTTAGAGTTTTAAAAGAAAATGAAATAGAATCAATTATGCAATACATGCATAAAGATCCACTTTTTAAACACTTTGAATATAATAGAACTTACCAATGAATCATCATTAAATATTGGTGAAATGAAATGGGAACTGATATAAAAGATTTCATCAAATCTTGTTCCACTTGTCAATTTACTGAATTCCGAAGATTCAAAGAATTCTTACACCCGATAAAAGTTGAACAATCTTTTGATCACATTGTAATTGATTTGATTGGACCAAATTAAATTAATCAACAAAATAATCAATATATTATTGTTACCGTAGTAACATAAATTTCTCTAATTCGATAATCTTTCATTGATTATGCAAAATTTATTATCATGCTTCATATATTATTTCATGTCATACAATAATACTTTATCTCTAATTTTATAGTATTCTAT